AGGCAGTTAGCTCACTATAATGAGATATAGGCCTAAACAAAAAACCATCAAACTCAATCCTGTCAAACTGGCACTGTGTCACTAGCATCAATAGGACTGAACTACCGGCACTGCTTTGTTCAATGGTCAGTGCTACGTAAATAGATCTCTTCAGATTGTCTTACATGCATTAGTATGATGGCAGGGCAGGGAGAGGAGCTTTCTTGAGAATTCTGCCTTAACCCACAGATAGCTGTAGAATGAAGCCCAAGCCTATGAAGCTTTTCAGAAAAGGGACTGGAAAAGGCTAGAGCAAGGTCTATTGATAGATCTCTGGAAGATCTCCAAGTGTTCCTGACTCTGAACTATCTAGCAGTGCAAACTACTAAGTATCTCCCTAACTAAAGATAGGATACTGAAAAAGAATGCTGCAGGGAAAACGAGGAATGGATCTGTGGGTGGAAGGACAGAAAAGCATGGTTCTGGTACTGATCATAAGTTTTTGGACAAAAGATGCTCAAAGTTATACTGATCCTTAGTTCATAGTTCATATCCACCAGGCTGCACTACTGTTTTTTACCTGGGCCTGATTTTCAGATCCCTGGATTCTAGAAAAAAAATTAAGTAGATCTCAGAGCCGTTTAGTCTGCCTACCCCAGTTTCAGAAGAGAATAATACATGCACACATTAACTATTTGGGATCCAGTGTGGAGTTATTTCAGCAATATAGTTACTGAATGGTTCTGTTATACAGTTGTGCACCAACTCCACCAATTTAGCACTTCAGAAAATGGCCTGATTTTGTCTTAGATAGCCACTTCAGCACAGGTACCAAAGCTGAATGGATGAAGCAATAACTTGAAATACCTTGACGATGTCAGTTTCAAAAAACTAAGCCATCAGATAGGGTGTAGCCTCACACAGAACTTCACAGTTCATTGCACCAATAAAGTAATAATTATCACAAGGCAGTCAGCTATATAACGATAATTCCCATGACAGCCCCACTGTCCCTGAGAAGATTATGGGTATTTAGGGCTAAGATGCCATCATTACCCTTTCTCATGGCTTGAATTTTATAGGGGATCCAGTTTTTATCATCTTCAACTTCTAAAACATCCTAGTTTTCCTATTATTCTGATTTATTTTGTTTTTCTTACTCCAGATAAGAAAAGCCAGAAGAGTTGCACAATGCTTTCTCATTGTCTGGAAGCAACTTATATTCCCTTTATAACAAATACTGCCAATTAAACCAAGCCCCTCAGAATGTTGGGGTTTTATATCCTTTCACTTTCTTATAGATCACTCTCTTAAATTTTCCAGGGACAAGTGATTGCATAACTCATGATAAAACTCAAAACCCCCCAAATACTCACTTGAAATGGTAACAAGTACCAAAGACACTATTGACACATTAAGGTTCATGACTGAGTCTACTCCCTGATCATTATTAAAGAGCCAACTACCAGATTTGGGACAGAGGGGGCTGGTATGCTCTGTATAGCCATTTCATTTTGCTAAAGTCTGTGTACTTGTCTCTACAGCAGAGCAATCCTTTTCTCTTGTACCACTGTTTCAGTGAAAATTGCCTTCCCAGTCACAAAACATAGACATAAATGTTTGTTTTGTTTGTTTGAATGAAGTTGTTTTATATATAGAACACTTCAAAGACACATGGCATTTTAGTTCCTATGATTCAAGCAGAAGGTATACAACATTTTTACAATTTGTTTACCAAGATTTACCCTACTTGCACTTTCCAGTTTGAATATGAACTCAGACATTATCTGCACTTGAAGTCTGCCTATTTCAAGTTGCAATGTGATACATGGAGGAAAACACGTGAAAACAACAACACAAACACTTTTGAAAAATGCACACAAATATGCTTCAGTGAAAGAAAGAAAGAAAGAAAGAAAGAAAGAAAGAAAGAAAGAAAGAAAGAAAGAAAGACAGACAGACAGACAGACAGACAGAAAGATTTGTTCCAAAGATGCACGTATTTTGAAAAAAAAATATGCACAAAATATACACGGTACTTCAAGAAAAAAAGTTTACAAATTTGACATGGATTCAGGTCAGAACAAACTTTGAGATGGCTTTTGGAGAAAGTTGATAAACCTGAGTTTAGCTGATTCATACATTCCTAAATTCAAGGAGAAAATTGTATTTCCTGTTGCAATGAGTTTGTTAGTTCTTGAAGTATGGGTGTCGCCCCATGGATCAATAACTGCCTAATATGTGCAGAATGGTCTTTCACAGCCCTACAGTTTGGGAAGTTCTTCCAGGAATCAGAAGACATGTGCTCCCAAACAGGGAGTGTAACAACAACTGGGAAACACCATCCAAGAATACACAGAAAGCCGTCAAGTGTAGGGAAGGCCATCTGTGATATAAAGGGAAGTAATAAATAGCATAAAAATGGAAAGACAAAAGAAAAATAATCCTATACTTTGATTTAAGAAGTTTTGGGGAATACTAACAACTGTGCTCACAATTTAGACTGGATGATACTACACAGAAACATTTCTTTAAAATGTTTTTTCAGTCCAGTCTGACAATCAGAACGAATACAAGATCAGTCTTCCACCAGAACAAATAAAGAATGAAATTAAAGCCCCATAGTGTTCTTTGGTAACTTAGTCAATTTTCTGTGTCATTATGTCCTGGGACTTAAATCATTCTGGCTGTTTTTAAAAGAAAGCATCATATGCTTTAAACATCCTCCAAATTTTACTTTGGCAGTTTCAAATGTTCCTATCATTTAAGCATCTCATTTCTTATAAAAACACTTAACTCTTTTTCTCATAAAATTTTACATATGGCAATTCTCAGAACTTCTGCAATGCTGCCCACAAGGTGAAATATTTTTCAGCATTTTTCAGTCAGTGAATATTAATTGGCTCTAACTGTAAGAGAGAACTAAAATTCTTTCAGAACCATATTAATGTTTACCTTTCTCTTGGCGCAAAAAAAAAATAAGGAAATGAAAGTGGTTAATCATAAAGCATGGAGAAACTTGGGAGAACATTCAGTTCTCAGGCGCTACTGAGTGGTTCATCTTGAGGCTATTTCCTTCTCTCCCAAAATGTTAGGATGATCATAGGTTACATGTATAAATAAATTCTTATAATAATCTATGATATAAATGCATCCATCCTTCTCCTTATGGGATTTAGTTGCTTATTTTGTCCCTTATTATGCTCATGCTTATCAAAGGTTGCTAACAAAGCCAACTCACTCAGTTCCCCACCCGTGTTAAGGCAGTTTTGAAGTAGCCCAACAAAAACAATGTGCATTCAATGTGCCAGGTGAGTGAACACGTAGCCAGGATTGGGACCATGCTGAGTAGCCCATCCTGCTGTTCTCTGCAAGTTGAAAGCAAACATCTGCAATGGAAATATATACAAGGAAGCTTCACTTCCACAGAAGTTCCAACTCCGTGCCCAGGCCTCAGTGGAAGGGGTCACATGAAACAACACTGGAAGTGGGATTGGGCAGAATGGCTCCATTCTTAGCTCATGTGCTTCACTGCCTTAGATAGGACTACATGCATAGGGCTATTTACTCACACCCCTTTTAAAATAATGCCAACTCATCTTAATGTATGACTTTCTCCTTCTTCCAAGCATATAGGACGTGAGGCAGGATAACAGTGATTGGCAGTGATCTATTGCACCAAACTGGCCCTGGGAGACTGCAGAAAAGAAATAACCAAGCTCTACCACTACCACTAGGACATGAAAAAAAGAAAATGAATTGTAGTAACAATAGTTCTTCAAACCATAAACTGCAATAGAAGGGAAATGTGAGGATACACAAGGAGCAAATCCCATTACACCTGCCAAACACACACACATGCACCAACCCTCTGTTACCGTATGTGATTATCCTCATAGTTTACTCACTCAGAACCACTTCACAGATTGCACAAGAGTGGTGTACAATGTAGGCAAAGTAATCTGAGGTTCTGAGGCTCTGTTTCCAGGATTTCAGCAAACTTGCTCATATTAAATCACTGGAGTGGGAAAAGTATATTTCTCATACACACAGGTATTATTTATTGGATGTGGTTATCACTTTTTCTTCTGGTATCTTTTTCTGCAATCTGAGAATCTAACTTTCAGAACAACATCAGAACAACATCAGACAATCTAGTGGAGAAGAGGTCAGGGAGTACATTAATCCTAAGAAAGGCAAGATATCTGTATATAATACAGACTTGCTATTTGCATCATAAATAAAACACAATTATTTAACGACATTATACATTTCCAGATCTTTGGGTGATTAAGTCAGGCCTGACCCATGAACTCATGAAGCTGAATGCAGCCCAACAACCAGTAACATTGTAAAAATATAATAGAAACAGAACATAAATATGATAATATCTACTCCCAGGATGATTCTAATGCTAGAAAGCTCTGCTTCTGCAGAAAACAATGTAGCTTTAGGACTGCTTCAGTGTGTCAGATACAAAGTCAAGAATCAAACCAGGCTCCAGAATTTGGTGACTTACCAGTTTTTGGGAAGACGATTTAAGCGTAACATGGAAATTCAAGGGACAACAACACAATGTCATTATAATGATGTATAACACCTCTATTCATTTGGAATAAAGGACTGAATTTAAGCCAGGCAAGGAAGGATGAGGGAATGCATTCACTGTTCTCCTGTGGTACGTAGATATGCTCAGATGTGCAGCTCCTCTCAAGAGTAAATGATACACAGGTGCCCATCAGGTTGCAGACTTGCAGAACAATCCTAAGCATGCAATGACTTGCTAGTGAATCTTATTATGTTCAGTAACTCCTGATTGTGTCTAGGAGTACAGCCTTAAAATGAAACAGGAAGTTGCCTGTTTACTCTCAAATGGAATGTTTATGCACAAATAAGGCATCCTCCCTTTGCAAACCTTCCAAAATGTGAAGACTTATAAGTGTTTAGGTGACAAGGGACATTCAGACCTTGGAATAATAATTGGAATAATATTTTTCTACAAATAAGTGTAAAAGGCCTACCTTGAAAAAGGTCATTGTTGCTCCATCTTCAACTGCTCCATATTCTATTTTAGTTTGCTTCGCTAGATCATCTGCCGAATCAATGGGGGACTCCATACGCTCCACTGTCAGAAAGGCGGCTAGATTAGCAGTGTACGAGGAAATGATGATAAGTGTGAAAAACCACCAAATGCCTCCCACTATCCTGGTGGAGAGGGCTTTGGGCATGAGCTCGGAACCTAATGAAAACCAGGGGAAACAGATGAATCCAGGGTATAAACAGTATGACCTTAATGTAGAAATACAGTTCTTTCATGGCAGAAGAGTGAGTGTGGACTCACCAAGCAAAATAAGCAAATAAATAAAACTATAAGCTTAAATACTGCTTATACAGACACACAAATGAAATAAAAAAAAAATGAAAAACATATACTGAAAGGAAACCTTGTTAGGAAAATTGTGTCTTTCTGAGACCCAAACTATAGCAATGGGAGGCCTAAAGAAAGGTTAGGCTCTCAGCTTGGGTCAGAACCCAATAATTTAAATGCCTTTCTAATAAAGTGACAATGAAAAACAAAATGGGAATGAAAAAGATATTAGAGCTGTTGAGAAGCTTTGTGCTAAAAACATACAGTAATCCCAAACCTCCCAGTTAAAATTTAGAGCAGCTCTTCCGTGTCTTTATCAATCATTAATTAAGCAGCTCATAAAAAGGTGTCTTTCATGACAAATAAGCTGTTGCCCCAAACTCTGGTAACGAAGGAATCAAGAAAAAATGTATCAGGAAAATTCTGATACAGCGATGACTCCAACAAATCTGAACATGTTAAGCAGCCTTCAAAAACAAAATAAAACAAACAAAAATTTAATGCAGTGAAGCAATAAGCAGCTAGCCAATGACAAAATGATACATCTCCCATCTCTATACTTAGCTCCACAGTTTATAGTAAAGAAGAGTGGCCAAGCCACATTTCATTTACTCAAGCAGCAATGAAAATATTATTCTTCAGCCTGAATGAGACCAAGACAGACTATAAGTGTATTGCTGGAGTTGCCTGCTCATGGCCTTAAAAATGGAGGGGGCTTTAGATATGGCTTAGTAATAGACATCATTATAAATTTAGAGCCTAATGATTAAAGCAAATTTAGAGCCTAATGATGCTAGTGGTATCACAGAACTTCCTTTTGTGCTGCATTCTTAAAAGCAATCATGTTTCAAGTTTGCTTAATTTGCAAAAATATAAATGTAAGTTGGCATGCATGAAATTCTTAAGAATAGAAAATTGAATAATTTAATTAACAAGTAGTGGCAAGTCAAATATAGACATTTTTCTACAATGCATAAAGGATGTTGCAAGGCATGTGTGCAACAAGATATTTAAAATATATAGATCTGCAGTGTCGTTATGATAAAGTATTAGCAATTGTGGTCAATTAGGCAGGGATTTATACCCCCTCCTTTTTGTTTTACTAGGGTAAAATGGAATGAAGGCAAGATGGACTATTTTATTCCTGATTAATTGTATTGTTTACATTGCATCAGTTAAGGAACTGGTCCAGCAAGGTAACACATCTTCCAGGGAATGAAGCTTATGCCAAACTCAACATTAATTACAGAACTGAAAAATTTAAGAAAGAAAGAAAAGAAAGAAAAGAAAGCAAGGAGAAAAAAAGAAGTGGTATCATAACTGGACTATTTGATCCAAAACAGCCCATCTTACCCTGCAGTTCATCTTACCCTTGCTGTTTCAAACAAAAAAAGCTGACAGACTTGGACATGACAGCCAACTCCAGCGCCAGACTTTGCCTAGAATTCTGCAAGGAAAGAAGTAGAAAAGTACCTTTCGGATGTAGTCGCTCCTAGGCCCTGTCAGTCAGACACTTAAGACACTATCACACTAATATAGCCAAATAAGCCCAACAGCTTTGACTGTTTTCTCAAAAAACCAACATTTAGGAAAGTCAAACAAGACTTGGAAGAAAAGAACAGTAGAAAACGTTTGCCATAGTTGCCCCAATTACCACAAGTTCGTATCTTACCCAAGGATTTAGAGTGCCACCAAAGCCCGTAAAACAGAGCCTGGTTAGGGGCTGACTGTCATGTACCCAAGGTAACGTCATGTCAGCACTATATCCCACAATTTCCTGGGAGCAAAGCGAGTGGGCAAGGAATGTATGAGTTTCCTCTATCATGTAGCCTCCAGCATTCATGGAAATGTGTTAGGAAAAATGGGAATGATAACACTATTAGTGTTGATCGGTTACTATTACAACTTTATGGGGACTTTTTATTTAGAGTGTTTCCCTAAAATATTCCATCAATTCAAGCACAGTAAAGACTTCAATTTGCATCTTTCACTCTCAACTCAATATACTGCAAAGCAATTTCTTGAGGACTGGATTTCAGAAAAAGTACTACTTTTTCCTATATATCAAAAAACTACACAACTACTTATGACTGTTGAAGCCTTCTTAAGGCTTTTGCTTTTCTCCTGCCTCTCTGCTACACTACCTCAAATGCCACTTTTAAAATGAGGGATATTGAAAAGTAAAGTTCTGCTGCACAAATAGGTAAGAAATTAAATATCCTATGATGACATCCTAAAGAAACATGATCTGCATCCGTCTAGAAGCACCAAGGGCTGAGCTGATATAAGTGCACTGCCCATATAGTTTAGCTAGTCATGGAGGCAAGTTATATTAATGGGGACATTCCAGAATGGGAAATGAAATCCTGATTGTATTCTGTTCATGTAAGAGCTGGCATTTTCTCTGCACAGAATGTGTTCTTTCCTCACATAATAACAAAACATGGTTTGGTACTATTAATGAACTTGGTGCATTTATTTATTCATTCATTTAGATACCCCTTTCATGGTTTACACTCTCCTCCTCATGCACTCACCTGTATGAATTGAGCTTGCAATCTTCATTTATAGACTGACTATAAACAAATGTAATGAAATGCTACACTTTGTTTCTAAGTAGAAAGAGGATACTGAATGTGAAGAGAGGAGGGGAGGAACAAAAGGATATGCTTAGGCGTAGCTCAAGCCAAGGTGCACGAAATTGTAATTTGGCAATACATGTGAACTGGTCCAATGAAGCTGTCAAGTCTACTTGAGCTTTCTGGAGCAAATGAAATTGCTTTATGGCTTTATGTTCTTATGGGCCTTGGGGATCCATGACAATTTTCATAAATGCCTCCTAGTTCATGATCTGTACAGTTACTTGCTGCTTGTTTATCCTTTACTGGAGATAGCAAACTGATATGTCTTGCTATTGCCTAAGCAAAAACTACTGATCAATGCTACTTAAGTAAAACAAAATTACAGTACAGCTTCAAAATATAGCGGAAAATGGTACACTCTACTAGAAATATGTTTTGCAGATAGTTTTGTTTTGATTATAACATATTTATTTATATGAAAGGACTAATTCATTTATGGAAGCCTGCCATTAGTTTTTTCACTACATAGTATATTTGGCTCATCAATATATTAAATGCTTATGAGTTTGAGTATATGATTTTTGAGTACCAAAATATACCACTGAGATATAGAATGCAATCCTATACACATTTAGTTGGGAGTCAATCACATTGAAACTCAATGGGTGTCATTGTTCAGTAGACATGAGACTTTTAAGCAGAAACCCTGAAGGGTGTGTAGAACACACTTGGCATGTCTGACCCAGCAACAGGTAACCAATTTTCAGTACTGTTAATTTGAATGGAAGCCTTAACTGTGTGTTTAACACTTTCTCATTAAAATGACTAGGACTTGAAATCATGCCTATTATTGTTTATGGGTCCCCATATACCCCTGACTTTAAAGACAACAAGCATCCATATCAGCTTGTGAAAACTCTAACACTGTACTAAAGTTGTACTAGTTTCCTGCTCATAGGTAGTTATGGCAATGTGCTCTGATTCCTATATCTTTCTATGACATTCTGTCAAGGACATTAATTACTTTTCCAAAAAGGAAATGTTTTTTTCCCCCTATTCCTTATATATTTTTCCTCTACAGAATACCCAAAGACACATGTCCAGCTTCTGAACTATTGGTTGATGAAAATAAATCCTGGTTTTAGCACTCATGTACGCATATACACTCTTAAAGCTGCCAGGTTCTCTTAAAATCTGTGATTTAAAAGAAGGCAAATTCCTTGGGTATTCCAAGAATGAAATATGGGTGACGTTTAGTACAGACAAGCAGCAACACTGGCAGAATGAAGAATGATGTCTTTTAAAAGGATTGATGTGAAGAATTACATCATGAGTTTCCATTATACTCCTTCCGTACATAATCTATTACAGAGCAAAAGACAAAACCAAACCCAGCAAAAACCTGCATTTGAGAAATTGCATCTGACTATTGCTTATCCCGAGCATCAAGTAAATCAACAGAATGGACAAAATTAGTATAAAAGGGTGCACTATACAATCTACTTTTTAAAAAGGAAGTATTAGTTTATCCCTGGTAATTTCCTGATTAAAATTTTAGCTGTCATTTAGAAAGTAGGAATTTAATTTATTTGTGTGTGCTGTACATCATGTACTACATCAACAATATTTTAATATTTAAACAATATTTTTGCTTATGCAAAAATCCTCTGTTTAAGGAACCTTAAATGTCAATTGGTGGAAACAATGGGTGCAACAGGAGAGATATGTATTAACTACTCAATAAATGGCATTTTGTTTCAGTACTAAATAGAGAGGTCTACAACAAAAGTAGGCCACTGTAGGAAGAAGTAGTTATCATGCCTTCCACTCTTGCTGCACAGATATGTTCCTGTTTGGAAAACGTAGGCAATTGTATTGATTAGCTGTAGTGGCATGCGAGGAACTCCCTTGCTAGGAATGTAGACAATTTATGTTGATTGGCTGAGGACTTTTTTCCCTAAAAGATATAAATATATAAATGTATTAATGTAGGAAGCTGGTTTATGGTTACATGCACAGAGGCACCCATGCAAGCTGTGCCAAAGAAAGAGAACCGTAACCCCCAGCAAAAAGTGGGACATGGCGCCCGAGGGAAAGAGCAGGCTGAATCGTATACCTTGCTGCATGAGAGCTCCAACTCCAAACCAGAAACTATTTAGCAAGGTAAAATTGTTTTCCACCACGTCTGAGTCGGGGTTGCAAGGGTGTGGATTATACCACTCATAGGGACTAAACCTGTGGTAATTGACAGAAAAAAAGAACATATTTAACAAGCAGTGAGCAGAAAGTCTATCCAGCAAATTTGCTGCAAAAGAAACAGAAAAACAAGAAAAGTTAAATAGAAAATAGAGAAAGAAAGTCTTCACAATGCAACTGCATTATATACATGACAGGAGGCATTACAAGAAAAAAAATACCAGCAGTGAAGAACCCCCCTCTTCAGCTATGGGTTTGTGTAGTAACACAGTCGGAAGCGAGGGAGCGCTGGCAGGATGTGCCCAACCCTCACAACCAGGGACTCAGCATCACTCAGACTGTCAGCAAACATCACATCATGTCGCTCTTAGGCATGTTGACACGCACATAAAAGGGGGCTATTAAAAGTTGGCAATTAAGAAGAAAATAATTACAGTTTCAATTTAATTAAGAATTTGCACAAAGGCTTTCAGATAACAATCATGGAAGGAAAACTGCTAAAAGATAAATGTGTTAATGCGTGGCAAATGGCTAAGGAAATAGCATCTGCAAGGAAAAATGGGTTTGTTTATTACAGTAAACCTAGAGGGTGAAATCCTATGCATGTTTAGATAGCCAAAAATAATAATACTAAAAAATATCCTATCCCTCCCAGCGGTCCCCAGCCTTTGCCTTTTCTTGCCTAAGATGCATAGGATTGCATACTGAAAGTATATGGGCATTCAGCAGCTAGGGTTTGTCTAAGACTGAAAACACTCCTCTGGACTACAGAAAAGACTGCTTCTTGAGAGAGTTGAAGATCATTCTGAATAAAATCTTTCTGCCTCCCTCATACTCAGTGGTGCTAGAACACAATTAGCTGGTTAATAGGCAATATTAAGAATATGTGCATTTCCAAGGCAGAGTGTAACCTAAGAAGAAATGGGCTTTTTTCTTCTTGGATGAATGGCATCATTTTCCAGTAGTAAAAATGCCACCTTAATCACCACACTGTCTAGATGGTAGATTGGAGTACTATAAACATGCATTTCATTTTTTCTTGGGACTGAGACTTACAGCATAATGTGTGATATTTACATCACTGATTGTTTCTCCTCCAAAATCTTATTTACCAAATTATGGCTACAACATGCAAACATGTCTACTATTTAAGTTATTGTTGCCTTCATACAGAAACACTTAAAGAAGCAGGTTCCAGTGAATTTAAATATTTTGTTGATAAAACTTGTTGATAAGAAGAGCTCTCTGTTGTCTTTTTTTCCACAAATATATGATGACTTAACACCACTGTCATGCCACATTATTGTTTTTGGGTTTTTTAGTGAACAAAATCTACCAAACATTCACCTCAGATGAATAGCTAGATGATAGGAAATTAATTATCTTGGAAATCAATACTTTGACATTTTTCTACTGTTCTTATTCCCATGTTTAGTACCAATCACACACTACCAAAACAAAATATGGAGCACAGTACACAATGGACCATAACTACCAAAATAAATAAAAATGCATAAGAATTTAAGTGCTAAACTCACTTATGCATTTTGTT